ATATTTATTGGTTTGACTATATCAACTATTATTGGTATATATATATATACTCTCTTTTTTGTAACAAAGATTATTTTAGTTTTTTCTATCAAATCCAAATAAAGATATTGCTGACGCAGGTGGAACATCTAAGGTATATGAAACTATGAAAGCTAATAATCGATCACAGTTTTCTGTCTATGTCACTAAATTGAAAAAAAGATTTTTTTAAATATTGTTTTATTTATTTTAGTGTTAATTTTGATCCATCAATTCGTTATACAATGTGGAGTATATTTATTGGTGTAATATTTTCAAGTAAAGCTCAATATACTTATATTCAAACTCAAGCACAAAGATATATGTCTGTCAAAGATACAACATCTGCAGAAAAGTATTTCTCATATAAATAAATAAATAAATAAATAAATAAAATTTGTTATTTTCTAAAAAGAGTTGCATGGACAAATTATGTTATGTTGGTATGTATGCATATATTATCTCTATATGTTAGATGTTTACTCTATGATAAATATAGTCAATGTGATCCCTTTCAACTAAAATTGTTTCTCGAGCATATCAAGTAAAAGAAAAATAAGAAAATCATTATAATGGAATATAATTTCAATCTAGATGTATCCATTATTTGTAATTGAAACATTCAGAAGATTTTCTGGATATGCAGGTCTTTCTATTGCATGTATCTTAAGTGCAACATTAAGTACATTGTCAAGTGGAGCTAATAGTATAGTAACAGTTATTATTACAGATATTTCTAAACAATTAACAAAAAAACATTCAATGTGAAATGTAGAACAAGTTACCTTCTCAAAAATTTTATGTAAAAATAAATCCCCGTTGATTTTTTTTCTCAATTATCTTTCTTTGTTAATTATCTAGCAATATGTATTGGTTATTTATGAGTGATAATGACCTTTCCTGTACTTTTTACGAACAGTAATATCATTCCTGTTAGTATTTAGATGATTTTCATAATTAATGATTAAAGTTTCTTATTTGTTTAGTTAATAATTCAAATCTTTGGTGTATTTGCTGCTTCCATTTTAAATATTTATTTTCTTGGATTATTTTCATCACAGTTGAAACTCAAGTAAAAATTAAATTGAGAGTTTAAAAAGAAACAGACTTTCTTAAATATGCTTAGAGTATATTTGTTGCTTTTTTTTCTTTATTTAATCTTTCAATCTTTATGCTTTTTCGTTCAATATTTACTACAAAACCAACAAATAAACAAGATAGATGACTACCAATTTCTATTGCTGGATGTTTAATATCAACAAATATAACTATTAAAACAATATCATATGAAAACAAAAAAATATTTTAAGAGAAATAAAATTGATAATTTTGTTTAGATCGAATTTATTAGTATCTTTGTTTTCGATATCACCACTTTGGTTTATGTTTATTGGTACTATGACTACTATTTGTAGAACATCTTTTGATACTAGTAACAGCTGTATTACTTGCAGTCTATCTGTTATATATCAATAAATAAAGTAATAGTATTTAATTGAAAAAAAATAGGAAATACACTTGCTTTTAATCTATATTGTTCTCTCATTATGCTCATAGAGTAAGTTTTCATAATGGTAAAAGACATAGAAAAATAATGTACTTATTATTATTTTTCTTTATTTAGTATATATTGAATTGAGTTTTAAATAAAATTGTTGTAATACTCATATGTCATATTTTTTCTTGTGATCTATTATTCAGCAAAATATTTTTCTTATTACATATAAATGCAGATTAAAATTTACTTTTATTTATTAAATATAGTAACATAAATCTGAATTTTATTTTCGATCGAATCATATAACTTTAACAAGAATTCTAGTTACTTCTTTAATTCTATCTCGATATGATTCATGTTAATCGTTGGTTGAAAGGATTGAATCATGAGTGGTTATTGTACTAAACGAGCGAATATTTTGTAAAGTCTGTTCAAACTGATAGATTTTAATCGAATCTGGTCAATTCTGAGGATGTTGACTCGTACGATCCATCTACACCAGCCACATAATCCAAATCGACTTCGATCATGACATGAACTTTTATTGTTATAGATGGCGTCGGAAAATTCTTTTTAGGATAATGAAATCTGAATTTTTCAGAAAATTACTCGGATTCGAGTACATATTTCAGTCATAAAAAATAAGATAAAATAGAATAATTATCTAGGAACTTTTTTGTCTTCTATTTCGACTATCTGCAGAAGAATCTCGATCGTATATAAGTTTTTGCATAAAATA